TGTTTCAAAAACTTTCTTACATTACTTCTATAAAAGCAGTGAAATAATACTAAGAGCTTTCCTAAATCCAACCATCATATCTGGCCTGTTCATGATTGTACTCTTAGCCTAGCCCACATTAAGGAGTCAATTATTTTTGTTATATAAATTTAATCACTCATTTAATTAGTTAAATAAGCCCCACAATGTACTGCATTTTCAAGTTTTAATCACTCCAGTGCTTGATAAAGAAAACTCACATTACCAACACATAGAAAAAAAATGAATGCATGAATTCTTGTCTTACTCATACTGAGCTAAACCAGCTGGAACACAATAAAAGGTTTACTGAAAGTCTCTTTAGCTATCAGCTTAAATTCCAAGATCAATATTCTTATATGTTAATAAAAATCTTCATCATGCAAATGGAAAACCATACATAGTAATGTATTGGACAAGTTAAAAATTGCCAAATTCCCGATCTGCATGAAAACATCTTTTTACAGTTTCTTAATTATATCTAGGAGATTTTGAACATAAACAAGCAATGTGATAATACCAAGGGATTACTAGTAATTGTGTTACATATGATACAGCCCTATGGTTTTACAATGTTCGTATTTACATTCTTAAGGATATAAGGATGAAATGACATAGCATCTGAAATTTGCCTCAAAATATTAAGCAGAGGCACCTGGGTGGCTCGGTCAGTTAAGCGTCTGCTTTCAGCTCAGATCATGATCCCAGGGTCCTGGGATTGAGCCCCACTGAGGGCTCCCCGCTCAGTGGGGAGTCTGCTTGTCCCTCTCCTCCCCACTCATGTTCTCTCTATCACTGTCTCTCTCTCTCTTTCAAATACATAAATAAAATCTTAAAAAAGAAATACGTAAGCAAAGAAAGAATGAAAAGTATAAAAGAAGGGGCGCCTGGGTGGAGTTGTTAAGCATCTGCCTTTCGCTCAGATCATGGTCCCAGGGTCCTGGGATCGAGCCCTGCATCAGGCTCCCTGCTCCACGGGAGGCCTGCTTCTCCCTCTTCCACTCCCCCTGCTTGTGTTCCCTCTCTTGCTGTCTCTCTCTCTCTTTTTCTCTGTCAAATAAGTATTTAAAAAAAAAACAAAAAGTATAAAAGAAGCAAGGATAGCAAAATCTGGATCATGCTGAATCTGGAAGATGGCTATATGAGGGATTATTATTCCATTCTCTCTATTTTTATGTGTATTAGAAATTTTTATTAAAAATTTTTAAAGGATAGTCATCAAGATAATGAAGATAAAAATAACAAAAAGATAACTACAAAATCCCAAATCTGAAAACTATTAAGATATGTCTCAATAATCCATGAATAAAAAAAAAATCAAATTTGAAACTTAAGTTTCTTGAACTGAATGAAAATGAAAATCCTATCTTCAATGTAATAACAATGAATAGTCGTAAAATTATGAAAACATCTCCACTTACAGCAGCATCAAAAAAATATTTAGGAATTAATCAAAAGTGAAAGATGTGTGCAATGAAAACTACAAAAATTTGCTGAAAAAAATTAAAGAAGACAGAAATAAATGGAGATACATCTCATGTCCATGGATCAGAAGACTGAATATAGTTAAGATGTCAATATTACCCAAAGCAATCTGGAGATTCAATGCAATCCCTGTCAAAATCCCAATAACATTTTCTGCAGAAATAGAACAAACAATCTTGAAAAAGAACAGAGCTAAAGGACTCACTTCCTGATTTCAAAATTTACTACAAAGCTATAATAAAACAGTGTGTTGGAGCACCTGGGTGGCTCAGTCTGTTAAGACTCTGACTCTTGATTTTGGTTCAGGTCATGATCTCAGGGTCAGGAAATCAGAGTCCGGTGTTGGGCTCCATGCTGGGTGTGGAACCTGCTTAAGATTCTCTCTCCCTCTGTCTCTGCCCCCCAGCCCTCACTCTCTCTCTCTCTCTCTTAAAAAAAGTGTGGTAGTGGCATAAAAATAGCTATACAGGCCAACGAAGCAGAGAAGAGAACCAGAAATAAACCCTTCCATATATATATATAGAGAGAGAGAGAGAGAGAGAGAGAGAGAGAGAGTCAAATGACCTTTGACAAGAGTGGCAATACCATTCAATAAGGAACAGAGTTTTTCAAGAAATGATGCTGGGGATACTGCATAACCACATAAAAAAAAGAATGAAGCTGGACCCTTACCTAAAACCATACACAAAAATTAACTCAAAATGGATCAGAAAGTTAAATCTAAAACACAAAACTACAAAACTCTTTTCATGACTTTGGATTTGATAATAATTTCTGGGATATGACATCAAAAGCACAGGCAACAAAAGAAAAATAGACAAATTAGATGTCGTGTAACTTATAAAATTCTGTGACTCAACAGACAATATCAATGTAAAAAGACAACCCACAGAATGAGAGGAAATATGTACAAATCTGATAAGAGATTAATATCCAGAATATATAGACAACTACTGAAACACAACAACAAAAAAATTCAAAACTGGGCAAAGACTTCAACAGAAATTTCTGTAAAACAAATGGCCAATAAGCACAGGAAACAATGCACAACATCCACTAGTCATTAGGGAAATGCAAAGCAAATCTAAGAGCTACCACACCTCACATCTGTTAGGATGGTGACTATCAAAAACAGAAAATAACAAGTGCTGGCAAGAATGTGGAGAAACTGGAAGCTTTATGCACTGCTGGTGGGATTATAAAATGGCACAGCCATTGTGGAAAACAGTATGGCAGCTCCTCAAAAAATTAGAAATAGAATTACCATAAAATCCAGCAATGCCATATCTGGGGATATACCTAAAAGAACTGAAAATAAGGTCTTGAAGAGGTAGCTGTTCACCCAGGTTCATAGTAGTATTATTCACAACAGTTAAAAAACATGGAAGCAAACTGAGGGTTCTAGAGGGGAGGGAGTGGGGGGATGGGTTAGCCTGGTGATGGGTATCAAAGGGCACGTACTGAATGGAGCACTGGATGTTACACGCAAACATTGAATCATGGAACACTACATCAAAAACTAATGATGTAATGTATGGTGATTAACATAACATAATAAAAAAGAAAAAAGAAAAAAGAACATGGAAGCAACATATGTGTCCATCAACAGACAAACAGATAAGCAAAATGTGACATATACATACATACAATGGAGTGTAATTCAGCCTTAAAACGTAGTAAAATTCTGATATATGCTACAACATGGACAAAAACTGACATTTTGCTAAGTGAAATAAGCCAGTCACAAAAAAACAAATACTGTATAATTTTGCTTATATGAGTTACTCAGAGTAGTCAAAATAATAGAGAAATAAAGTAGAAGGGTGGCTGCCAGGATTCGGGGAAGATGTGAATGAAGAGTTACTGTTTAACGGATACTGATTTTCAGTTTTACAAGGTGTCAAGTATTAAAACGATGGATACTGGTGACACTTGCACAATATTATGAAGGTATTTATTAAATACCACTGAACAGCACACTCGTTAAGATAGTTATTTTATGTTACATGTATTTTATCACAATAAAAATAAAATTTGGGAAAAAGAAAAAATACCACATCAAAAATTCATGGGATGCAGCTAATTCAGGGCATGGAGAGAAATTTAAAGCACAAATTATATTACAGAAGCAAATTTTCAACTCAATCACTTTAGTTGCTACCTTAAGAAACAACAAAGAGGCAAATTAAATCTAAAGAAAGTAGAAAAAAAGAAATAAAGTTTAGAGCAGAAATCAATGAAAACTATAGAGTATCAATAAAACTAAGAGCTATTTGAAAAGACAAATAAAACTGATAAACTTCTAAACCAGACTATTAAGGAAAAAAAAAATAAAGGGAAACAAGTTTCCAATATCAGGAATGAGAAAGGGAACATCATTAGAGAATCTAAAGACATAAAAGGATAATAAAGGAATATTACAAACACAGGAATGCCAGTAAATTCAACAACCTAGGTGAAATAATGGGCAAATTATTTTTTTTTAAGATTTTATTTATTTATTTATTTGACAGAGAGAAAGAGAGAACACAAGTAGGCAGAGCAGGAGGCAGAGGGAGAGGGAGAAGCAGACTCCCCACCAAGCAGGGAGCCCGATGAGGGGGGCTCGATCCCAGGACCCCGGGATCACGACCTGAGCCGAAGGCAGACGTTTAACCGACTGTGCCACCCAAGCGCCCTGGGCAATTCTTTTAAAGACACAAACTAAAAATAATGTTCAATCAAGAAAAAAAATCAATAACCTGATTAGTCTTACACTTCTTTTAAAAATTTAATTTATAGGGGTGCCTCGGTGGCTCAGTCATTAAGTGTCTGCCTTCAGCTCAGGTCATGATCCCGGGGTCCTGGGATTGGGCCTCACATCGGGCTCCCTGCTTCTCCCTCTCCCACATCCCCTGCTTGTGTTCCCTCTCTCGCTGTGTCTCTCTCTGTCAAATAAATAAAATCTTTAAAAAAAAAATTTTAATTTATATTTAAAACTCTTCCCTCAAAGAAAACTCAAGGCCAAGATAGTTTCACTGGAGAATTCTACAAAATATATAAGGAAGAAATAATACCAATTCTTCACAAACTCTTCTAGAAAACTGAAGATGAGAGAGCCCTTATGAGAAGAGCACATACACCCTGTCACCAAAACCAGACAAAGACATTATAAGAACACAAACTGCAACCCTAAGAGGTGAATACTATTAATCATTCCATTTTAAAGATGAAGACATTGAGGACTAAAGAGATTCAGGAACTTGACCAAGACCACAGAACTAAAAATTGGCAGGCAACCTGACTTCAGAACACAGGCTCTTTTTTTTTTTTATTTCCTTATTTTTTTTTAAATTTTATTTTATTATGTTATGTTAATCACCATACATTACATCATTGGTTTTTGATGTAGTGTTCCAGGCTCTTAACTAGAACAATGAAACTGCTTGTTAAATTTTAGATTAAATTCTAGATACTCTTGCAAAAGTAAATAGTAAAGAGTGCTGCCCAATACTTACCTAGAGACTATGCTGGAACCATTATAGAGATCGCTAGCATATGACAATGTAGCCAAAGGTCGTACTGAATTATATCGAGTAAACTTAGACAAGCATTCCTGAAATTCATCCAACTGGCTTGCAGTTCGACTATCATCTATATGAAGAAAACAAAATAAAATAAATTTTACTGCAATGTAAGTCAAAGAGCAGTATATACAGATTAAAAAATATATTCTAAATATAAACAATTCTTAAGTATTTAGAGAATATTAGCATGCACAAATTATTTAGCTGATCTCTCAGCTTTAATAAAAATTTCTTAGTGGTTCATTGAAACACACTGTCTCTTTCAACACCAATAAAAACATATTGTAAATATTTTTTAAGGAACAGTACCTTGGAAAACAAAAAAGTACCTCTGATCAAGAGAAATATAATCTTTTATTAAAACAAAAATCCCTTATCAATGGAGAAAATGAGGGTGGACAGAGGAGTATATACACTGAGTATATTCGTTATTTTGAAGGAACACGTTTACAGAGATACATCTGCAAGCCTACATTTATTTACTATTAAAACACAATTTATAACATAATTTAGATTAAGAAAGCAATCGCTTTTTAAGTAAAAAGAAAGTGAAATACCTGTTCACATTATACTTTGATGTTTCTCAAATCAATTATGAAAAGGGAGAAAACTGTAATACATCAATTATTCTCAAAAATAAAATACTTCGGGGCGCCTGGGTGGCTCAGTTGGTTAAGTGACTGCCTTCAGCTCAGGTCATGATCCTGGAGTCCCGGGATCGAGTCCCACATCGGGCTCCCTGCTCAGCGGGGAGTCTGCTTCTCCCTCTGACCCTCTTCCCTCTCGTGCTCTCTATCTCTCATTCTCTCTCAAATAAATAAATAAAATCTTTAAAAAAAATAAAATAAAATAAAATACTTCTACTCAAATGTCTTGGTGGAATAGGGAAAACATTAATTCCATCCACTAGAGCACTGAATAAATACTTTGAGTAAAGCCCATTTCAGTAAACTATTCATAATTAAATTATGAGGAATTTAAATCACAAAATCATCTCATGAAAGACGGAATAAATATAGCTATCTATTCTCCAACCTAGAAACAAGACTACAGAGAAAGCATGAATAAAAAATCATTGCTTTTCAAAAATGCTTTAAGTTTGGACTTGTATTTTCCTTTCCAAAGAAAGAAAAGTAAAACACCCAATTTAGTTAGCTTCCTAACTGAAATCTGAAGTAAGATTGTTACAACACTGTTTTCATAGCTTCTTCATTACTTTTAGCTCATACACATACAAACACATACAACTTTTTCAAGGTAAACTTTCGTGATATCACCCCACACACATTTTAAAGATTTATTTATTTGAGAGACAGAGAAAGAAAGAGTGCGCACAAGCAGGGGGTGGGAGAGAGAGAAAGCAGACTTCCCACTGAGCAGGGAGCCCCACGTGGTGCTCCATCTCATGACCCCGAGATCATGACCTCAGCCAAAACCAAGAGTGGGACACTTAACCAAGTGAGCCACCCAGTTGTCCCATGATTTCCCCTTCTTAAATGTCCTCTGAAAATAAGTAGGCATAATGAAATTTAGATATAAGAATCATTAAGTCTGAGGTGCCTGGGTGGTTCAGTTGGTTGAGCGTCTGCTTTTGTCTCAGGTCATGATCCTGGAGTCCCGGGATCAAGCCCCATGTCAGGCTTCGGGCTCAGTGGGGAGTCTGCTTCTCCCTCTGCTGCTTACCAGGCTCATGCTCTCTCTCATTCTCTAATAAATAATAAATAAAATCTTTAAAAAAAAAATCATTAAGTCTACAGAGTTAAGGTACCAAGGATAGACAGTAAAGAATTGATTCAATTCATCCGGAGATATTAGGTTATCTTGAAGGTAACTACTGACATAAAGAAATTTATCTAACACTACTACAGCAAAAAACAATTACTAGTCTCTGATACTAAGCTTCTGTCTCCGATATTTTACATTTTAAAGATTTAAACACTAAAATGGCAAATTCATCTAACAACCTATATCAAAGGTTCCAATTTTATACTGTTTCCATTCTAAAAACAGCAAAAAACAAACCCAATTAGCATGCACTGTCATAATGTTACTTAAATAATGTTCCTGCTCCACAAAAATTCTTCTCAGTAAATTCAACAAATTGGAAATAAAACATGGGTTACTGCAGTAAAACAAATCAACTGTACTACAAAGTGGTTTGAATGTAACAACTAATTGGTTCTTTTTATATATAATCCTATTAACTCTGAGTATTTAATATAATAGTGACTGGAAAGACACCTTAGATATTTGTTTAAATACTAATTTAATGTAAATCTATTCTTTCATATTTTGACACCAATCCCCAAGCATAAAAATATTTACAAGCATTCAAGAATGTATATTCTGCTGAAGTCCATAATCTTTTCCTGGGTAGCTAAACTTCTAGGGCCATGATACCTATTCATTAACATCTACTTTCAAAAGCAGTTATAAAGAAAACACTAAAAATAATTACTTTAGTATCTGAAAGTATAGGGATTTGATTTTTATTTGGTTATGAAAAGGTAGGATTTTGTATGCTTGGTAGGTTTATGGTCAATAATCATACATAACTGCTAGCGTATTACTTTTCCTATTCCAATTACAGATTAGTTTGTGAAAGTGTGTTCAGCATGTCTTTTCTCTCTTCTAATACTTTATGATTTACCTTCTCTTCCAATTACAACTAAGAGTCCAGGGCATTAATCTCTTAATCTTCATCTCTCATTTCCAGAGTTGAAAATTGAAAATCAGAAAGAGGGGATGGATTCTCATTTAAAAATATACAGAAGGAAAAACAAACACTATGTACTCCATTATGCACAAGTTAAAATTTCCTCTTCACAGTCAAGGACACTAGGAGGAACTTCATATTCAGCAATACGGTAAGTGTAGTCAATGTATAAATTCAGTAAGATAAACTTGAGACTCCTAAAAACTAAGGACAACATGGTTTAAATACAATATAACCATGCCCATAAAAATGAAAATCTAATCTTCTTCCTGTTTTTAATTTATTCTACCTTCCAGTAATCTTACATCCCCAAAATAAATTGGTCTGTGACTACACCTTTACTATGCCACAGCAATGCCTATGCTGCTAGTTACTTAAAAACTATTCCCCAATCTCTCTTTGCTACCTCTCTTTTTCTTTTAAATGTCTGCCATTTGCCTATGCATGTATTTCAACAATGTACCAACAAATAACATCTAACAGCATTAATATGAACCTTCTACCAATCAGACTGTAAATATCAAACCATTTTCAATTTCACAGCTTCCTATTGCACTTTATAGACTATTACAGAGGCTCAAAAAGGGGCTCAATTCCCAGGCAATACAATCAAAGTTTCCCATCTTATAAAAACTGTTGATTGTTAATTGCATACACATTTATAAACAAAGCTTGGTTCCCACCTAGAATTCACAGGAAAAATGGTATGTAAATCTTCTTTTTCTTCCACCACCTATCCTAAGGCAAATGTGTCCAAAGGTCCTAAGCAATGTGTAGATTTTTTTTTCCCTTCAAATTTTTATTTAGATTCTAGTCAGTCAGCACACAGTGCAATATTGGTCTCAGGAGTAGAATTCAGTGATTCATCACTTACATACAACACTCAGTGCTCATCATAAGAAGTGCCCTCCTTAATACCCATCACCCATCTAGCCCATCCCCTACCCACCTCCCTCCATCACCCCTCAGTTTATTCTCTATCTCTTCTGGTTTGTTTTCTCTCTCTTTTTACCCCTGCTCCCATATGTTCTCCTGATTTGTTTCTTAAATTCCACATATGAGTGAAATCATATGGTACTTGCCTTTCTCTGACTTATTTCACTTAGCATAATACACTCTAGCTCCATCCACATCGTTGTGCATGGCAAGATTTCATTCTAATTGATGGCTAATATTTCATTGTGAATATATACCACATCTTCTTTATCCATTCATCACTCAATGGACATCTAGGCTCTCTCCACAGTTTGGCTATTGTTAATAATGCTGCTATAAACATCAGGATGCATATACCCCTTTGAATCTGTATTTTTGTTATCCTTTGAATAAATACCTAGTAGTACAACTGCTAGATCACAGGATAGTTCTATTTTTAACATTCTGAGAAACCTCCATAATGTTTTCCAGAGTGGCTACAACGGTTTGCATTCCCACGAAGGTGCAAGAGGGTTCCCCTTTCTCCACATCCTCACCAACACCCATTGTTTCCTGTGTTCTTAATTTTAAAAATGTGTAGATTTTAATACAAACATGCCTATTCAAGAGGAAACTAAGGCCAGATTTTTAACAACTAATAAAATATCACACATTTTTTTCCTGGGTGGTCCTCATTTTGAGCAGGTGTACTACTAATGATATCAGTTAATTGAGCACCTAATTTATATTTTATAGATATATTTATATCACCTATAAATCCTAAAAAACAAAACAAAACATAGGGTTGGTATTAATGTCCCTACTTCATTGGTGAGCAGACACTGAGAAAGTTACAACTCAAGGGGCGGAACTGCAGTAATGCAATGAAAATATCCTATCATGTCCATGATGTTGCAAAAGTTATTTCCTCTACTTTGAAGATGTTTCTAATTATCTTATTTAGTTAATGAATTCTAGCCTTGACTAAATACAATCCTCTAAAATCCCTACAGTGATCATTCCCTTACATGTCCCCATTTTCAATTTGGTGTGGATTTTTCATTCCCAGCTGTATTAGTGGATATTCTTCTCTATTCCCCTAACACACTTATACAACATATAATATCACACAGAATTATTTACCTGTTGCTTTGCCCCACTGAATTTACAATACTCCCTGACAACAGAAATCAGTTCTTTCATCTTTTTATTCTTAGCACAAAGGACAGTGCTTAAAACTTAGTAAATGTTTAATATTTCATAATAAGAGGCAAATGAATGCAACTAATTTTTAGCCACATATTCATGGTTGATTTTTTTTCTTAACTTTATATAGCTCACTACACAAAGATTAAAAATCCCCAAATAGAAGGGGAAAAAACAAAAATAGCTATGGGAAACAAATATTCTTCAAGATCTCTAAGAACCTCCACAACATTCTGGTAGAATATGTCGAAAAGACACACTTTTGTTTTATAAATAGGACTTTATATGAATCCAGCATAAGAAACTAGAAAAGGATCTGACATATGAACTTGATATATTTTAAGAACTCTGGAATATGTACCTGAAATACGAGACATCCTTGTAGAAAAGTAACATTGCTCTAAATCTTCAAAATGAGCAGTGAGTCGTTTTCTTCTTGATGCTAATGTGCTGTTATACCAAGGCTGTTTCTTTGTCTAAAGCAGTAACATAAGAAAAGACACTTGTAACTTAGAACAAATGATAGTCTTTTTCTGCACAGAATACCTAAATGATTGCATATTCAAAATATCAACATATTAAAATAACTAAAAATGGTAAATACTCATAGTTCTTAGACCATATTTTTCAATTTTTATTTTTAAAATGCAAATAAGCTCAGGGTTTGGGGGGCCAGGGGCAGGAGTTGGGGTCCAGGTCCTGCCCCTGAGCCCAAGCCTCCTGGGGAAGCCGGGTTGTACTATGTAGGAAGGGGGGGAAATCTATCAACATATCTCAGGTTACAGGGAGGCGCATAGGTGGGGGAGGGACTAGGTGGACCAAAGGCCAGAGGGGAGGGGCTTCTGGAGATGGAGAAAGACCTGAGGATGGGGCCAGTTGGGGGAGGAGGAGGAAGCAGCCTGGTGGGGCCAAGGGCGAAGTCCCAGCTGGGCTAGGCCCCTGGTTGGTACAATATGGTTTGCTATAAAACTCTAATCTTCCAGCCAAAAAAATAAATTAAAAATAAATAAATACAATAAAATAAAATATGCAAATAGGCTCTCAAGGCCAATTTTATAAGAATGAAATAAGAACCTTCTTTCAACTCTCCAAATTAAATTAAGATAGAATCGGGGCGCCTGGGTGGCTCAGTTGTTGAGCGTCTGCCTTCAGCTCAGGTCATGCTCCCGGGGTCCTGGGATTGAGCCCTGCATCGGGCTCCCTGATCGGCAGGAGGCCTGCTTCTCCCTCTCCCACTCCCCCTGCTTGTGTTCCCTCTCTCGCTGTGTCTCTGTCAAATAAATAAATAAAATCTTTAAAAAATAATAAAAAATAAATTAAGATAGCATCCTTTATAACTACCATGCTAAATTTTAGAATTTTGAGAATTTTAATATGCAGAAATTGTTAGAAAACAATGTTCAAAAGAAAACTAATTACTTTTTCATCATCCTTATATTGCAACCCTGTACTCTGAATAAGAGAAATGGTCCTTGATTGACAGAATATATATTTAAGTTAATACTGATTATTAAATCAAGGGGCAATAATACGTAATATGAATGTACTAGTCTACCATATACATTAGAAGATCAGAATAACTAAATCACATATACATAAAGCCAGCAAACCTGAAATATATTGGCCTATATAAATCTATTAAAAAAAACTATGATCCTCAATATATAATATTGCCTACATCATATTAAATGAAAGGATAAGACAATTCTTTCCACAAATGGTTATTTTTCTATTATGCTTGAGGCCCACAGACACAGAGATGAGACAAATGACAAGAGCGTGAGATGACACAAGTTCATCGTAACTATACAATAACTGCAAATGTATTTAAGTAAGAAATATTAAGGTACTACCTTGAATAAAACACTCTAAAGTGAACCCCTGCTAAAACTAGGTGGCAGGTAAAAATCTTATTTTAAAGCAGTGCTTGAATCACAAGAAAGTAAGACAACGTCCAAAGATTTAACAGATATACAAGCAAATAAGAAGCTGAATTCAGAGAAGTGATATTAAAGAAAACATAATGGTGCAGAGGAGGGGAAAGACAAAGAGGACAATACTTATTTGGGGACAAATACCGACAAAAGAAAAAACACTAAAACTGAGAGAAACTGAAAAAGAGAATTTGTGAACCGGAAGATAAATCTAAAGGAATTAACCAGAACTAAGGATAAAAAAAAGGTAGAAAATCTGAAACAGAGGTTAAGAAGTATAAAAGTATAAGGTTGAAAATATGGGCACTTAGAGACCCAGAAAACTGTAAAAGACTAAAGAAGAAATATTTGAAGAATTCATGTTGACAATTTTCCAGAACTGAAAACAGACATAAATACAAAAGAAATTATTCCTATCAAGTAGGAAAATTTAAAAGAAATCAATAATTAGACACAGTAAGGCAAAACTGTGTTTCTGTCCAAAAACAAAATGATTTTAAAACCAGACAAATAGGGGCACCTGGGTGGCTCATTCGGTTAAGTGCCTGACTCTTGATTTTGTCTCAGGTAATGATCTTGGGGTCAAGAGATGGAGCCCCAGGTTGGGCTCTGCACTCTATGGGGAGTCAGCTTGAGATGATCTCTCTCCTCCCTCTGCCCCTCCCCCCAACCGTGCACCCTCCTCTCGCTTTCTCCCTCTGTCTCTGTACCTCTGTCTCTCTCTCTCATAAATAAATATTTTTTATTTTTCCAAAGACCCCATCTATTTATTTGAGAGAGCGAGAGAGAGAGAGCTCAAGCACAAGCAGGGGGAGAGGCAGAGGGAGAGAGAAATGGAGAAGCAGACTCTCCACAGAGCAGGGAACCTGACGTACGACTCGATCCCAGGCCCCTGGGATCATGACACAAGCCGAAGGCAGACGCCTAACCAACTGAGCCACCCAGGTGCCCCTAAATAAATAAATCTTGAAAAAAAAATCAGACAAACAGAAGAGATAACTCACCTGACAGGACCATCAATTAATAGGGAAATACTGAATAGCAAGAAAAGAAGCTAGAAAAAGGAACTTTGGTTATCCTCAAAAAGTTGAAAGAAAACAATTCCAATCTAAAATTCAGATCCTGAAAGAACTATCCTGCAATAAAATGAGCAATATTTTTTCATGTGAATGAAAACAAAGAATATTGCCAATAAGCCATTTTTTAAAAAAATGTGTGAAATTGTGTGCTTAAAAAATTCAGTAAACAGGGGCGCCTGCATGGTTCAGTCATTAAGCGTCTGCCTTCTGCTCAGATCATGATCCCAGGGTCCTGGGATCGAGCCCCACATCGGGCTCCCTGCTCGGCGGGAAGCCTGCTTCTCTACCACTCCCCCTGCTTGTGTTCCCTCTCTTGCTGTGTCTCTGTCAAATAAATAAATAAAATCTTAAAAAAAAAAATTCAGTAAACAAACTGGAAGGCCTGAAGCACAAAATGAAAAGAAAACCTGTAATCAATAAGTAATTTTAAATACTATTTGTAACATTAATTATAATATCTAAATTATTGGGCTTAAGAACATGTCAGAATAAATACACCAAAAAATGGCATATAAATCAGAAGAGTGAAGAAAGTTTCAATTCTGGAGCACTTATGTTGTTCAAGAGAGTAATTAAGATATTAAATTTAATGAAAAGATGTTCAATATCACTAATCATCAGGGAAATGCAAATCAAAACCACAATGAGATATCTCACACGTGTCAGAATGGCTAAAGTCAAAAACAAACAAAGTGTTGACAAGGATATAAAAAAAAAGGAGCCCTTGTACACTGTTGATGGGAATGAAAACTGGTGCAGCCATTGTGGAAAACAGAATGGAGATTCCTCAGAAAATTAAAAATAGAACTACCATATGATCCAGTAATTCCACTCCTGGGTATTCACCCAAACAATCTGAAAATACTAATTCAAAAAGATACAAGCACCCTATGTTTATTGCAGCATTATTTACAATAGCTGAACTATGGAAGCAGCCCAAGTGTCCACTGACAGATGAATGGATAAAGAAGATGTGGTGTATGTGTGTACACACACACCCACACACACGAATATTACTCAGCCATGAAAAAGAACAAAATCTTGCCATTTGCAACAACATGGATGGATCTAGAGGGTATAATCCTAAGTAAACGAAGTCAGTCAGAGAAAGACAAATATCATATGATTTCACTCATATGTAGAATTTAAGAAACAAAACAAATGAACAAAGAAAAAGAGACAAATAAAAAAAAGACTCTTAACTACAGAGAACAAACTGATGGCTACCAGAGAGGAGGTAGGTGGGGAGATGCATGGAAAAAGGTGAAGGGGATTAAGACTATACTTATCACAATGAGCACCGAGTAATGTACAAAACTGCTGAATCAATATATTGTACACCTGAAACTAATACAGCATTGTATGTCAACTATACTGAAATTAGATTTTTTTTTAATCTTTTTTATTTATTTATTCATGAGAGTCAGAGAGAGAGAGAGAGGCAGAGGCAGAGGGAGAAGCAGGCTCCCCACCTAGCAGGGAGCCCGATGCGGCACTCGATCCCAGAACCCTGGGATCATGACCCGAGCCGAAGGCAGATGCCCAACCATCTGAGCCATCCAGGAGCCCCTGGAATTAGATTTTTTTAAACAGATGATAATAACTTTAGATTGTTTAGATGTTAACTTTGGATCAATTTCAAGGATAACTACTGAAAGCATTTTAACAGAATAGGTAATGTTTAAAACAGTAAAGGGTGGGAGAAGGGGGTAAAAATATAAGAGAAAAACACAAAAAGGAGAGAAATAGCAAGCATTAAAGAGTAATAAAGATAAATACTAATTAAATTAGCGATAGGAATTTTAAAATATAACTGTATGCTATCTGCAAAAAAAACCACTGAAAACATAAAGACACTAAGTATCTGGAAGTAATAACATGAAAAATAATGTACTAGGCAAATTTAATCGAAGGAGAAAAAAACTCAAGATGAAAAGCATTAATGGAAATGGAAATGGAAACAGCACCTGGAAATGCAAAACTTTCAACTTAATAATTGTATACCCAGTACACACATAATAGCACAGCTTCAAAAATATATAAAGCAAAAATTCCTGAAGAAATTGACAAACCCACCAACATAGCAGATTAACCTCATCAACTCAACTGAGAAAATGATATGACCTAGTTTAAAAGCTTAATTTAATGAATACATATAAAACACTGTACCCAATGAGAAACACATATTCTTCTTAAGCATACATGGAACATTTACAAAATTGGCCATGTGCTGTATCACTGAATATGTTTATAATCTCAATAGGGCAGAATTTCTTAAATGAAACACAAAGGGCATTAATTATAGAAGTTACAAATTCAGTAACTCAAATTAAGAACTTCTGTTCATCGAAACCCAACATTAGAGGCAAGACGTTACAAACTGTAAAATGATCTTCGCAACATTCGCAACACCTAAGAAACAAATTACTACTTTGAACATATATTAAAGCTTCTACAAGTAAA